CGTGCTGTGAATAAAAGTAAGCTTACTCTTTTTCCTCTTTAATAAAACTACCTTCGATTGACTTAGGTAAATAAAAAAGTACATTGTTGTTGTTATTATACGAAGTATATGTTTGAATCTTGAAATCAAAATTATCAGAATTGTATAAGATACTCAAAAATACAATTTTTGGCGTCTCCTAGCCGGTCACGTCAAATCAAGGACGTAAGACAAGAGAAGCGATCTCGAAATACATGGCGAATTTTAGTGGAAATTGTAATGGCCGTATCTCACTCAAACGTGGAGACTTAAGGAGACTTAAGGGATATAGCATAGTATGAAGACTATACTTTGTGTAGGTGTGTCCTTTTTTAAATTTTCTTCGTCTAAATTTGACTTATTCCCACATAATTCAAAGCCTACAAACACTTCGCTTGTCAAAACAATTTTTATCTTTTTCTATCCATTCATTGATACGGCATATTTTGATTTTTCCTATGGCAAGAATTACAAAAAATACTGAACTAGGTCCCAGATAAATGTCCAGACTTTCTACTTTTTGTCAGTATGGATGCAGAAAATATCTAATAAGCAAACAGCTGCTGTTTTTGTTTGGCGAAATAATCGAGGAAAATCGCCGTCGAGAGGAAGTTTTTCAAACAAACGCTAAAGACAGATGCATAATGAGTACGGCGCGCAAAGCATGTTAGTGAAACATCCTCTTTTACCCAGCCCAAAGCCAACGCAAGCAAACAACCCAACCCGGCATCCGCGCCCAGCGAAGCGAGCTGCTATCGCTGTGATGGGTAGCCTGCCCCAAAACGTTACCCTTTCCGTAACGAAAAGTGTCACTACTGTAAGAAGGTGGGGCACATCAAAAAGGTCAGTAGGAAAAGGAGGGGTGAAGAGAAAGGCAACACCCCTGTGAACATCATGCAGGATGATGGGAAGGGAGAAGAGACGGATAGTGATTTGGAGACATGAAACACGTGTCTTCAAAAGGGGATAGATCACCCATTATTGTCACGGTACTTGTGGAAAGTCTAGAGTTATCAATGGAGCTTGATACCGGGTCAGCCGTGTCGGTGATAAGTAAAGAAACCTTCCACAGGTACCTAAAGGGCGTGTCCACCAAGAGTACCACCCTCCAGTTACGCACTTATACAGGGGAGGTAGTAAAACCCGTTGGGGTCTCCCATGTAAGTACAGTATCAGGAACAGATACATGTTCTCCCTTTGTATGTTGTTGAAAAGGGAGGACCCACCTTGTTTGGCCTGAACTGGCTAAAGTGCATTCGCTTGAATTGAAAGACGGCAGTGTGAGGGTATGCGGGGATTTTAGAGTAACAATTAACCCGCAACTAGAAATCGACGAATACCCCCTTCCACGCATAGAAGACATCTACGCCAGTCTTAGTGGGGGTAAACAGTTCAGCACTCTTGATTTGCGCCAGGCCTACCTCCAAAGGGAGGTTGATGAACAGTCCAAGCATTAACTTACCGTCAATACTCACCGAGGGCTGTTCCAATACCAACGCTTACCGTACGGTGTGGCCTCGGCACCTGCCATCTGGCAGAGAGCGATGGATCAGGTATTACAGTGACTCCCAGGAGTACAGTGTTACCTAGATGATATCGTAGTGACCGGTAAGTCTGAAAGAGAACACCTGGATGTGCTGGACAAGGTGTTGCAGAGGCTGCGCCGCATGCCACTACCGGTATAAGTCCAGCGCAGTTGCTGTTCCAGAGGAATCCAAGGACCAGGTTAGATCTCCTTAAACCAAGTTTCAAGAGCACTGTAGACGGAAAGAACCTACAAGATGAAACTAGGCCTTTCTCGGTTTTCCGCGAGGGTGACCGAGTCTGGATTCGGAACTATCGAGATGGTCCCAAGTGGGTTCATGGTACTGTTCTGGAGCAGGTGGGGCCGGTGTTATACAAAGTCCAGAGCGCCATCGACCGCTGATCCTACCATGGATGTCAGTCAAACCAGTCAACCCTTGATGCTCCTAGGCCGCAGCAGAGACAAGCAGCTGAAGGTTTAAAGACTACTCGCTCTGGTCGGGTTATTAGGACCCCAGCAAGGTTCAAGGACTTTGACTGTTCTGGACGTTTTTCATGTATTGTTTTCGCTAGGAAACCATTGTTATGTAGCTAAGGGGAAAGGAGTTGTAAAGTATTGGGATACCTGTGTTATCACGTGTCAATAGTAATAAGAATAAACACTTCTTTTGACTTCATTCAAGTCTAATTAAATAACTGCGGTACGCAGTTTAGCTGTTATTTATTTTCTGCACGTTTCGTAAGGAATTTATCAAGTGTGTGTATTAGCGTAAGTACAA